GCTGGCCGCCGCTTGCCGAAGGGCTCGGGTGCTTTTCCTCTGGCTCCCGTGGAGCAGAACTGTCTCGAAGCGTCTGTCTGCGGAGGCAGCCCGACGCCCGTAGGCCCGCGTGGGCCGTGGCTCTCGTGTCGCTCTAGTGTGTCCTTGTAGACGAGAGACAGAACAAGCCCCGCGAAGGGAAATTGCCTCTGGTTTTGGAAGTAGGTCTATTGGTCTCTGGCGTCTCCAGATGGCTCAGTGGATGGTCACTCATCACCCCCTTGCCGTGAGCCTAGTTTTCTGCTAGAAATCAGGAAGAAGATAATTGGATGCCACTCTGAGCTGCAGGAGTTCACCATCTCCCGGTCTCGTTCCCTCTGCTTTTGCAAAGCTCTCAGAGGGAGGCTCAGGTTCCCCCGGCAGATGGGAAGGTAGAAATGTGGCAACTCGAATTCCACTCCAGAGAATCAGATATTCCATTTCACTCGTGTTTGGGCACACGCGGGGATCGAGGTATTAGCAGCCTTGTGAGACAATTAGCTCCCAGCAGTCTTCTTTTCAGGACTGGCGCGTGAGAGCACCAGCTCGCCGCTTGGCAGTTTGGCGGATTTTAATTCATCAGATCAAAGCGATAATGATTGAATGTTTAGAGATTAGCCCTGCAGGACATTGTAAGCGATGCCGGGTCTGGAGAGAGTGCTCCCCTCCCCACCTCTGCCCCCTCCTTTTTTCTTCTCTTTCGTAAATGGAATTTGCATCCTCTTAAAAATAAAAAACACTAGGCGAGACGATGCCTACTGGCCGGAAGGAAAACGCGTGGCGATGGAGGACAAGTACCGCACGGACTTCCCCCGGCCAGATCACCGCTTCCACGACTTCAACCATCGCGACCGGGGCCAGTACCAGGGCCATGCCATTGACAGGTCAGCAGCCCCACCCCTCCTGCAGCCACAGGCATGGCAGGCAGGGGACACCCAGCACGGGTGCGTTCAGCCTGGTGCAGGATTGGTTCTCTCCTGTTCTGTGAAGTTCTGTGTCCGTCCGAGACCCCTGAGGGGGACTGTGACTCACTGCACAGAACTGGAACAGGCTGTTGGAATGGGGGTCACGACGTCCAGACTCCTTGGCTTGCTGAGCAGGAAGGCACCACAGGGCTATTCCGTTCGCCGCCTCTTCATGAGTGGGCCGGAGGTGGCCCTGGGCAACCAGCTGTGCCCAGAGCGTGTGGGACGGTCCCAAGGGTTCCTGGCTTCCTGAGGTCTCTCCACAGCCACTCCCCCTTTCACCTCCTGTCTTCCCATGGAGCTGCGAGGGGCTTAGAGGAGGACCTGGCCCAGCCTCCTTTTTTTTTTTTGTGTTGGAGTCTCACTTTGTCACCCAGGCTGGAGTGCAGTGGCCGC